ACCTTGAAGGCCCTGACGGTTCGCCACTGCTATAACGACCATATGAAGGTGTGCCGCGGAAATAATCTTTTGAATAATTTGTGACAAAACCGTTCTAAACACTCAGAGTCCTTTAGCTCACATGAGCCCCTCAGTCTGACAGGGGAGGACTCTCCTCCAGCTTGTTGTGGGAAACAGCTCCTTATGTCCGTTAGTGCAGCTAGCTAACCAGATGCTAACATCACGGTCCCCGCTAGCACCGGTCCCCCTCTCCCCCTAACACACTAAATGCGCTATTGCCAGTGCCACACACACACAGAGCCGAGCTTGAATGACACAAGCACACGTGTATTTCCATGCAACTCTCTGATTGGTCTGGTGACTTGCCTCTGTTGCATTCATTGAACACGGGAAATTGCATTCCTGCCGTCCTCTCTTGTGTCATGATGAGGTTCACGTAAAGCACGGTTAACGTATTATATTATTGAGGTGTCTCAAATATACGTTAATCAAGTGGCACCTGCTAACGGGGTGGTGGATGATAGGTTTACATCTAAAAACGTATTTTTCAAACATTATTATTTTAATTTAATTTCTCTTTCTTTTGTTACTTTTTTTTAACGGTCCGCGATCTACCCGCACCACACTCGCGAGATCGACTGGTTGGCGACCACTCAGTAAGGTTCAAGGTTCTTTATTTGTCAAACAAACATAGCGAAAAGTGAAATAGTGCAATAAGAGTCTATGCAAGTCATTGAAATATGATATATTAGGTAAATAGATATACATAATTTTAAAGTAGCAGCCAGATGAATATTGTGGATGTTGTTCATGTGTTTAACGGTCTTATTGCCTGTGGGATGAAACTGTCCCCGAGTCTGGTGGTTTTAGTCCGGATGCTGCGGTAGCGCCTGCCAGACGGCAGCAGACAGAACAGTTTGTGGTTGGGGTGTTTTATAATCTGGAGGGCTTTCCTCCTGAGCCGCTGGGAGTAAAGGTCCTCCATCAATCAATCAATCAATGTTTATTTATATAGCCCAATATCACAAATGTTACATTTGTCTCAGTGGACTTTACAGTTTGTACAAAATATCAGTATGACAATACGACACCCTCTGTCCTTAGACCCTCACATCGTACAAGGAAAAACTTCTGGAGAAAACCCACAGTTTAAAGGGAAAAATGGGAGAAACCTCAGGGAGAGCAACAGAGGAGGGATCCCTCTCCCAGGACGGACAGACGTGCAATAGATGCCGTGTGTAAATTGAAAAGATAATACATTTGCAACATAGGTAGTCCAAATGTTTGGAAATGCATGTGTGTATAATAGGAAGATGAATCCACAAGGATATCCATCCAGGACCTATGATCCAGGACCACAGCCACGACTCAAGATCCAGGGCTCGCGATCCAGGACAGAGGAGCGCAGGATCATCCATGACTCCGGATCCCGGCGTATATAGACACCAAAAAGAAAGACATTTGGGGAAGCTGGGTTAATCGGAACATGAGAGTACACAGGTATAGACAGAGAGAAGGAAGAAGTAAGATGTCCCCCGACAAACTAAGCCTATATCAGCAAAACTAGGGTTCTGAATCTAATCAGCCCTAACTATAAGCTTTATCAAAAAGGAAGGTCTTAAGCGCACTCTTAAAAACGGATAGGGTGTCTGCCGCCCGAACACAAACTGGAAGCTGATTCCACAAATGTGGAGCTTGATAAGAAAAGGCTCTGGCTTCCATTGTACTTTTAGAGACTCTAGGAACAACCAACAACCCTGCATTCTTGGAACGCAATGCCCTAGTACAGGGGTGGCCAACCAGTCAGAGGTTAAGAGCCACATTTTTTCTATGTTATTGCAAAGAGCCACATCAAACACACAGTCACTGATACCGCTTGTTTCAGTTTTTTGTTTTCTGGAGACAAGATTTCAACCACGTCACTGATGCATTTTTGTGGCATTGGGATATATTTTTTAAATCCTCTGGAGCAGAGAGAGGAGCTGTGGATTATTGTTATTGATTAATGCATCAGTGTTTCTTAGGGTCAACAACACTAAACCCACAACTTAAGATGAAAGCGTTTAGTTTATTTAATAAAAGAGCACATGTTCAATGTGAAAAGTGACAGTAGTTATAGATTATTTGCAATTTGGTGGTATATATATATATATTTTTTTTTTAATTATATATATAACACCTTGAATTCCAGGGGGGGCGCGGGGCTCCGTTGGCGGGCAGCGCCCCTCCAAGACAATGGTAGGGGAAACACTGGATAGTGTTTAATCAACGATAGGTTTTTCCCCCCTCAAAGGTGATTGGTTCACTGCATTGCAGGTATTATTGTGATTGGCTCTTGGGCCACATCAAAATTAGACGCGCTGTCATCCTCTCATACTGACACCTGACACCACACATACACACGTAGGGAGAGCCGGGACGAAAGTAACACGGGACGAAAGTAACGGAGCTATTTTATCCGAGCCCGAACAACTTTGACCAGCCAAATTACGTCAGAATTATCAGTATTCAATACTTAACAGACCTACTAAATATCAGGTTTAACTGTCAGTGTTGTCACGATACCAACATTTTGGTTTCGATACCAAGTCAAGAATTGCGATTCCGATTCTTTTTCTTAAAAAAAGGGAAACAGTCTTAAATGTAATTATTGTGCTTTATTTCACACCAGAACCATAACCATAACACAAACTTTTAAACAATGAGAACAATAAATAAAATAAATGACAATAATTCGTATTAAATAAAATTAATACATTTCTCACAGACAGGCCTCATGGTGCCCGTAGGCTTGCCCTCACTGTCAGAGATATAGCTCAAATACATCGCTTCTGGCGTCTCTTTTCTCAACAAGCCGAGGCGCAGCAGCAGTTGTACTCCCACTTGCAGCCATGCTTCTGGTTTTCTCACATGCTCTGGCAGCTAGCGCGTGCACGAGAGAGGGGAGGGACTTAGAGCGTGCTTGAGAGGGGAGGGACTTCGAGCGTGCTTGAGAAGGGAGGGGCTGCAGGCACGGCTGCAGTGCAGGGAGTGGAAGCAGAGCGCTGAAAACACACGGCTCTTATTAAAACGGCGCTTTCTCACCGGAGTACTTTTCCCCGTCATTCTTAAAGTACCGATACTAATGAAACGGAGGAATCGTAACGTTTTTAACGGCAGGGTATCGCGGTATACCTTTCAAGTATCGGTACACCATGCAACACTAGTCAGGAGTCAGTGTCTCTCCCCCAAACTCACACATATAAAATTCGATATGAACTGAAGAGCCGCATGAAACTAGGCAAAGAGCCGCATGCGGCTCGAGAGCCGCGGGTTGGCCACCCCTGCCCTAGTAGGACAGTAGGGTATAATGAGTTCTTTAAGGTAAGATGGCGCCTGCCCATTAAGGGCTTTGTAGGCGAGAAGAAGAATTTTAAATTCTATCCTGTGTTCTATAGGGAGCCAGTGTAAGGCAGCCAGAACAGGAGTAATGTGGTCCCTTTTCCTAACTCTGGTTAGTACACGAGCCGCAGCATTTTGAATCAGCTGAAGCGACTTGACTGACTTCTTGGTACACCCTGATAATAAAGAGTTACAATAATCCAGCCTTGAAGTAACAAATGCATGGACTAGTTTCTCTGCATCGTTTTGAGGCAAGATATGCCTGATTTTTGCAATGTTACGTAGATGGAAGTAGGCGGTCCTTGAAATTGATTTTATGTGGGCGTTAAAGGATAAATCCTGATCAAATATAACACCAAGATTCCTTACAGTCTCACTGGAGGCCAAATTAATGCCATCCATAGTTAGTATATCCTTAGATAATTTGTTTCGTAGATTCTTCGGGCCAAGTACAATAACTTCAGTTTTGGTCGTGTTTAACATCAAAAAGTTTAAGGTCATCCACGTTTTTAAGTCCTTAAGGCAGTCTTGAATTTTATTTAGATGATTAATTTCATCAGGCTTGATTGATAAATATAGTTGAGTATCATCCGCATAACAATGAAAGTTTACAGAATGATTCCTTATAATATTGCCTAACGGAAGCATATATAATGTGAACAAAATAGGTCCGAGCACTGAGCCCTGTGGCACTCCATGGCTAACTTTGGTTTGCGTGGAAGATTCATCATTGACACGTACAAACTGAGAGCGTTCAGATAGATAGGACCTAAACCAGTCTAAAGCAGTTCCCTGTATGCCAACTAAGTGCTCTAGTCTTTGCAATAAGATATCATGGTCGATAGTATCAAATGCAGCACTGAGATCGAGCAAAACAAGAATAGAGACACGTCCCTTGTCAGAGGCTATTAGAATGTCATTTGTGACTTTAACCAGAGCTGTCTCTGTGCTATGATGTGTTCTAAAGCCAGACTGAAAAGCTTCAAATAAATCATTGTTTTTTAAGTAATCACACAACTGTTTTGCGACCGCTTTCTCAAGAATTTTTGAGAGGAACGGAAGATTAGAAATAGGTCTATAGTTGGCTAAAACCTCTGGATCGAGGTTGTGCTCCATGGATGGCAGCTCCGTCCTGGTGATGTTCTGTGCCGTTTTCACCACCCTCTGTAAAGCCTTACGATTGAGGGCGGTGCAGCTGCCGTACCAGGCCGTGACGCAGCCAGTCAGGATACTCTCTATGGTGCACCTGTAGAAGTTGCAGAGTATCCTGGAGTCCATGTTGAACCTGCGGAGGAAGAAGAGCCGCTGTCGAGCTTTTTTGATGGAGTAAAACATGAAAACTGACAAAAAAGTTCAAAAACCACTTCAAAATGTCTTATGTGGTTAATGCACTGCATGCTAACCCATACATCTATTCAATTCATACCATCTGAGGGCTTACTTTGACTGACAGAATATCTTATTATTTTCTATCCTCCAATTTTCTAAATCACCCAAGAGAAAGTGTCTTTTAAAGCAGAATGGAAACATGATGGGTGGGATCATAAACTGTCCTCCAATGGTAGGTGATTTAAGGAATTGTAATTGTTCTTAATTGTTCCGGAGTTCCTCCCAACCAGAAAACCCCCCCAGAGCAGAGCAGCCTGAGCCTCAGCACGACAAGACAGGACAGAAGGTAGGTGCTTTAATCTTTTTCATGGTAATTCTTGTAAAGCCAGTAGGCTATTAGAAGATTGTTTTCTGTACATTTATTTTAAGTATGACGGGGTAACTGTAGACATTCTACAATGTTTTTTAAACTGCCCTCAAGCTTGACCAACACATGATAGGCAGACAGATTACAAGCGAATGTTAATGAGTCAAATTGCTGTCTCCACCACATCCACAGAGGGCCTGCAAAATGTGACTAAACTTTTATGTCCTTTTCAGACAGGCACAATGGAGGTGAAGGTGTTCGTGGACGGTATTCCCCGTGTGGTTTGTGGCGTAACAGAGGAAACGACATGTCAAGAAGTCGTTATAGCATTGGCTCAAGCCCTTGGTATGTACAGTATACAGTATGTGGCTCTACATTGAAATCTTTATGTCCTGACATGTTGACAACACTGACAACAACACTGTAACACCTCTCTTAAGGTCAACCAGGGCGCTACACATTACAGGAGAAATTTAAAGACTTTGAGCGGAGCATGGCACCCAATGAATGCCTACTGGAGACTCTTGAGAAATACGGCCAGCAGGCAAGGGACGTCCGACTCACACTGCTTCACAACGGACCCTTGGTCTTGGACGAAATGAACAGGACAAAAGTTGGCAGATACCAGCCTTGCCCACCATTGAGAAGGAAAGATGCAGGCACCAGAATGCGGCGGGGAAGCGGTTTACTGAGTTTGCATCGTCAAAGTTTGCCACCAAGTTTGAGACAAGAGGCTGAGCAGCAGAAAGAAGATGTGAAACGGCCAAAAAGAAAGTCTCTGACGCTCATGGAGGAAGCCTGGGAATGGCTGGAGAGTCTGGGTAAAGGCAAGGTCTATAGTACCGCATGTGATAAGGACAGCAGTAAGAAGACCGATAAAAGGAATTGTACCTCTTTGGGTGTTTCTCTCACTGTGGACGATGGTAACTCAGGTAGAAGAAGTAGAAGCAAAGTCAGAGGTCATAAAAGTGTGAAGTCAGACTTGGATCATCAAACGTCCTGCTGCATGGGAAGCCAGACGAGGAGTAAAGTAAGTAAACGAGCAGAGAAGACTGAAGTGGCAAAATCTGATCAAGTAGCCAGCTCGAAATCTGCTACAAGTGAAGACGAGAAAAACAGTCGAAGAGAAACCATAATATATCAACTGAGCTGTTTGCAGGATTTGCAGGACCAGATTGCACGCATAGACAAACAGATTTTGGAGCTTGAGGAAAAACAACGTGCTGAAAAAGATGAGCAGGAAGCCCAGGAGAGAATGGTTGAAGAGGAGGTAGAGCAGATCAAGTTTTGGGAGAATGAGTTAAAGGCAGAGGAAGGTTTCGAGAAAGATTTGCAAAGCCAGTTCCTTGAGATGAGAGCAAATACTGTTAGGTGCAAGGCCAAACTGGAGGAGTACAAGCACAAAATGCAGGGGCTTGATTTCTTTGCCACTCCAAACATTGCTGAAGGGGTTTCAGAGAGCATTTCGGAAAACGTTGAAAATGCTGCCACGGAGAATTCAGCTGTTTCAACTAAGGACCAACAATCTGATCAAGATGGGGATGTAAATATTAACAGGAAGTTCCTGCCCAGTCGGGACTTGAACCCTCCTCACGCTCTAGTTCCTCCCGGGCAGATAAAGGAGCGACGGCCCACCGGGCCCACAGAACTGAGGGAGTGGTGGACACGCTGGTCTCAAGCCCAAGGCCCTCAACCACAGACTAGAAAGAAGGTGATTCACCGCTCTGAGCTTACCATATATCTGGGCAGTACCAAGGTTTAGAATCATATTGACAAATGTCCCAAATATTAAGACTTTAGGACAATACATATTGGGAATGCCTTCCTGTGTGGTCATTTCAATCCTCCCAATGCAAGACGCTGATCCTTCTGGTTCAACATGTATTCGACATTTTGTAAATGTGCAACTCTGAACTCCTAAGCGAGTGAACAAGGGTTTTTACAGGAAGTACTTCCATAAGAAAACCCAAAAATAAAAATCTTAAGCTACTTTTGTGTACAGTACATAAACATACACTGAAAAAATACTTGACTCAATTCAAATTCAAAACTACCTCTGTTAGGAGGATTTTGTGAATCGAACATGAGACTATGCATATTTGTGAATAATATTGTACACTCTACTTAAATATAGGGAAATAAAGAACTTTCTTTTTTTCCAGCTTTCATGTGAGCACTTTGTGGATGCCGTCCACAATTTGAGGAACGATTAACTTTGTAAACTAAACTGTTGTGACACTGAATCTTCTTTCCAAGGAAACGGATAATTGTATCTGTTGTGAATATGCAAATTTTGTCATCTGCTGAATACCATTAATTGTTTTGCTGTGGAGAACCCATCTATGCAACTTTGTCTTTATGTAATAAACCATTAGCTAATCTCTCCAAATGCCTTTTTACATTCTTATTTCTTGCCCTTAAGTGAATGCTAGGGTGTTAACATTGGTCAACTTAAAGTGATTTCACAGCTACTTAAATTCTTTGTGTTCAGTCATACATAATGCAGAATTTCTATGAAAACAGACAATGTACAACAGCTCGTGATTTCGATAAAACTTTAATTAATTTGTTTCATTCAAGACAAAGGAACATGAGAACCTCTGTGGTTCAACTTAAACCCAGTGATCTCCAAAGTTTAAATTAATTTATACTGTAACTTTATGTGCAGAGGCGCACAGCTCACCCACCATGTCTTTCCGGTGCACAATAACTGGTAACCTGATTCTTAATGCTTTTTTTATTTATTTTCTTTTAACTGAATTTCTAATACTTCACCCTTCGCCTTTTTTTAAGTTAAATTTGTTTTGTTATATTTTGACGTTCCAAAGAACTTCCACTAAGCAAAAAAAAAAAGAGAGCACACATTACATACAGTATAGTTCAACCCACAGGTTTGGGATGCATATCAGTATAATTTCTACAAAAAAAAAAAAAAAGCCACCCTTAGATTGTTCAGATTTGTGTTGGCGGTTGGCTGGGAACAGAGGGTACATCTAATTTTTTGTTTTTCCTTTTTTTTTAATATTTTGCTTGTAGTTTTTTTTAGGCACCTTATTCTTACTTAATTCAATATTAGCAGATTTTCAATGGAAAAAAAGCAAAAATATGTGCAAGAGAGAAAGAAAAAAAAAAAATTGTATAAAAGAACTGCAGATAAGATGCCACAAGGAATTCTGCACCTGGGAAAAAATTGCTTAAGCGGAGCATGTGAATACCAAAAAGGTATCTAAAGGCTCCAGATTGGTGAAAGTAAATCCCATTAGATTAACTACATTGACATTCACATACATCACACACACCATGCTTTCACCTCAGCTCTTCAATAAAGCGTTTTAAAACTGCTCAAAAAAACCGAGCAGAGAAGAACCCTCAGTTTAAGCTCGCACATGAGAAATATGATCCTCCTTATGGAGGGAACTTTGCTTTGCTTTATGCGTCTTCTAGGAAAGCATACAGTAGTGAAAACTTGATAATGAAACCATATCTAAGTTTCCATGGTTAAAGGAGCAAAAATATGAAAAACACAAAAAAAGGAGCAGATGCTCAAAGACATCCCAGGCAAACTAGTGGACAGATTACAGGTGCAGAATTCCAGACAAAGCAGGTTAAAAAAAAAAAAATAGGGACATAGACAGCCACACAGTCATCACTCTGATTTAGAGGGGCGAGACCCTCAGAAACAAATACCTCCGTTACACACTACAATCACTGCTAGGATACATCACACACGCACACACTCAGAGCCCCCTCCCCATGTATGCTGGAACTCTGCAGTAGGTCCATCATAACGGGGGGAGGCGAGGCAGGGAACTGTGGAATGAGAAAAGTTCCCTCGCAGGTATCGATGGGACAAGGATTACACATGCCGATTACTGTATGTATGCGTATGTTCTGTCTATGAATGCCTGTGTGTAAGCATGTGTTGAATCAAATTCCCTTATCGTCGCCCTCTGGGAAAGCTTCCCACCAACACCAAACAGGGTGGGCTCTGTATGGCTCAGTCGATGACACCCGGCTGGCGAGTCTTGCGCTCCACATTGAAGCCCTGCGGAGAAGGATGCATGGTATTAATGTTGCAGCTTACACCTTTGTATATACACACACACACACACCATTCCACATGTACGGAGTAAAAACTGATGAAAGGGAGATGCAATTCCTCGACAATAAATTGTCTCTTCATATCAATAACTAAATTGGTGTCTTTTGGAAACTAAAAATAAATTCCTAGGGGTTGCAATTCATCATTAAGTAACACTGAGATAACAGCTATTAAAAAGTACAATTCGCAATCCTGTAGAAATCCAGATTGATTAAACTATAATGCCTGGGTCATAATTCATTGCAGTTATACTTCCGTACATATATCTCACCTTATGGAAATCAATATCGTCTATAAAATGAGACATTTGCTTTTTTAGTTAGCAAACAAAAAGCTAAAAACATGTCAGGGTTCATACACTTTTTCACCAATGATTTTCAATGACTTTTCCATGACCTCTACCTCATTTTCCATGACCAAAAAAAAAATTACCACTGGAAATGGTTTATTTTAACATGGAACAGGAAAATAAGGTCTGCATTATGAAACATGTTGTGCCTATCTAAAACAAATCAAATAGTAGGCTTACTAGCTTCTACGCGCTAAAGCAACTGTAGTCAGGGATGCAAACTCATCAGGTATGAAAAAGGTGACAAGGATCCGAGCCCCCCGACCCCACGGAATATCGGCTTTAAAATGAGGAATAACAGAGGATTTTAGCAGTCAGAACAACTAAAGCAGCAGGTAATAATAACAGAAACGCCAAAGAGTCACATCTAATAGAAATATATAAGCATTTATTTTAATTGTGTAGCAGTCAGTTTATAATTTTGGCAGCACTGTTGAGCATTTTGAAAATGTATTTTCATGCCTCTGTGCAAGGCTTAGTCTTTCTATCTGTATAGCCACTGGTGTAAAGTAACTAAGTTCATAAACTCAACAAGTACTATACTTGGGTACTATTTTGAGATACTTGTACTTTATTTAAGTATTTAAATGTGTTGCTACTTTGTACTTCTACTCCACTACAGTTCAGAGGTACATGGTGTACTTTTCCTCCACTACATGTATTTAATACCTTTAGTTACTTCACAGATCTGGATGAATGATGTGAAATATAATCAAGTGTTGAATCAGACTTTAGTTCCACCTGGAGTAAATCCACCAGCTACCCTGCAGTATACAAAGTCATTCAAACTAGCTGCACCTTCACCAGCTTTGAGAATTATTCTGAAATGGACCAATCTGCACAGTGACTACTTTTACTGTCGCTACTTTAACTATATTTTGATGATAATACTTTTGTACTTTTACTTGAGGAACATTTTGAATGCAGGACTTTTACTGTAACAGAGTATTCCTACACTCTGGTACTTCTACTTTTACTCAAGTACAAGACCTGAGTACTTCTACTTTTACTACAAGATCAGAGTACTTCTACTTTTACTCAAGTACAATACCTGAGTACTTTACTTTTATTAAGTACAAGATCTGAGTACTTCCACTTCTACTAAAGTACAAGAACTGAGTACTTCTACTCGAGTACAAGATCTGAGTACTTCTACTCGAGTACAAGATCTGAGTACTTCTACTCGAGTACAAGATCTGAGTACTCCTACTTTTACTCTAGCACAATCTCTATACTTATACCACCTCTGTTTATAGCCTATGAAAAAACTATTAGAAAACGAAGGCTAAAGCTAACGTTAGCAGATAGTGACAATGATATTGCGACAGAAACACTTTTCAGTTCACATCACGCTCTGCCGCTCTGCTCTGAACACCTGAACGGCCCGTTCTAACAGCTGTTCACCAGCGGCTCAGTCTGTGCCACAGTGACTCCGCACAGTTAACGAACACACCGTAGATAATGTAGCTGACCCTCATCCCGGAGCAGCAGAGTTCAGCCGGCCCGACAGGCAAGAAGACTCGAGCACACAGCTCGCGCTTCATATATTAAAAAAGAACACCATGCGCGTCATGATGGCACATAACAGCTCGCGACCGCAGATTATTTTGGCGATTAGATAAAATGTAAATTATATTTGACGCAACTTTAGTTACATTTCCATGACTTTTCCAAAACTTTGGGAAAAATATTGTTTTCCATAACTTTTCCAGGGCCTGGAATTTGCATTTTGAATTCCCATGACTTTTCCAGGTTTTCAATGACCGTACGAACCCTGACATGTACTTTTAATAATTTTGGTAATTAATGTGCATGTTATTTTTTGTTTTCAAAATAACGGTTCATATAACTTCGTGAGGGTTATGAGTGTAAATTATTTTTACTTCATCATTTTTTATTTCTGGGGGGTACGTTAGATTAAGAATGCAATACTTTAGGCCTTTTCTTTCATTACCCTCAATTACTTTTATCAGAATGCACATTTCTTTTTTTCACACTTATTGCATCGTGTTTTATGAATGAATAAAACTACCACTATAATCCAGTGAAAGGTCCTGATTTCCTTTATATGTACTGAAATATATTAAAGGGCCCATGTCATGCTTTTCCGGTTATTACCCGTCCCCTTGTGTGTTATGTAGCTTTTTATGCATGTAAACGGTCTGCAGTCACAAACCCTCAAAGTACACCCTGCAGCGAGTAAAACTCTAACACAGAAAAGATCTGTCTATGCTGCCCCAGTGGAGCATCGTAGTGGAGCCTCGTTCGTTTACCTTTGAATTGTCGGGACCCCGGGGCTGCCTTACAATCACCAGACGTGGAGCGCTGGCGTCGTCAAGGGTGATGCTCTTCAATCGGTTTACCAGACGATCTGGACGCGGAGTCGCCACAGGCTTAGGCCCTTCGCTGTAACGTCAGGTTGACAGTGAGCATTCATTCTGAAACATTCTGATTACAGTTAAATAAACCAAACTTTACATTCTGCAGTCTTTACCTGACTCTGCGTACGTTGCAGGCACTACATTTTCCTGTGCGTTGATTGAGGACGACGGAGAACTCCACCTCATCCCCGGTCTGGAGCTCTAGGCCATCTTGCACTTCCTTTACATGGAAGAAAAGCTTCTTGCTCTCACCAACTTCATATGTGATGAAGCCAAACTGGGGACAACAAAACAACATGATTTCAGGGTTAAACATTTGGAGTAATTCAGTCCAGCGTCTATTAACAGCAACGCAAGGCTTCTTTTTTCGTTATACTTTGAGGTTTCTGATAAATGTGATGTAAAAAATAAATAAAATACTAAATCTGTGCAAATGGATTTCTAATCTATTCAATAAATGTAATAGGTACAATGTACTTTTATGCAATGTATCGGAATTTTTTTTCTAAATATTTAATTAGTTTCTCCGATTGCAAATATATAAATAT